AGGTTGCGGTGAGCCAAGATCGTGCCATTGCACGTCAGCCTGGGCAACAAGAGAAAAACTCTGCCTCAAAACAAAACAAAACAAAACAAAACAAAAGCAGCTTATGCTTACAAATAGTTTTACACTGTAGCTCCTCTGCACTAGTCTATCTTGAGTGTCCATGCTTGGGGTTGTTCTGTAGGTAACATTGGTTAGGATAAGGTCATTTTGGTGAGTATTTCAGTTACTGAACTTCCTGGGTGGGGGGATTGGGCCATCACCTTGAACCTGAATGGTGCTCCCTGGCTAATAGTGCCACAGGGCAGTTCCAGGATGGAGGTTACTACTGTTCTCTTCCAATCAGTTCGTTGGCCCCTCTGGTTTATCATCATGTGCTACCAATTGCCGTGAGTGAATAGTGCCTGAAACAATCAGATAAGCATGGTGACACCCATCTGTTCCTGATCACAAGCACATCTGGACCAGCCAGAAAATTCTCAGAATTCAAAATACTCAGAGAATGTTAGCGGTGTAAGGAAACTTAGAGATAACCTTAATCTCATGTTTTCATTTTACACAGGAGGAAACTAAGACTCAGAGTGGTATGATTATCCTAGGATCACCCAGAAAAATGATTAAGGAGCTAAAGCTATTGATTTCCAGTTCCTTGTACACATACACCCACATCTTTGGGACTGTGGGTATTAATTCCTTTTTCCTGAATGCACCAGACATCCTGACACTGCAGATTTCCCAGGACTTCCAATGATGATGACTAAATTGAAATGTTATGACGCCGACCTGATTTTTCAGGCAATTTCTCATATAATAAAAACCAATGCCAATTATTCAGCATTTAGCTCACTAAACTGAAGCATCACAAGATCAGCTGTGATCTTGAAGCTTAAGTACATGCACTGAAAAGGAAGGAGAGACGTTTTTTCTATTTCAAAGTGTGTAACGGGACAGATCATGGAATTAGGGTTCCAGTCTTGGCCCTTCTCTAGCTGTATAACCTTAGCCAAGCCTCTCTGAACTTTGGTTTTTTCTTCATCCTAAAAGAAGAGTTAGGTTTAGATCAAAGATCAACTTAGGTTCCAAGGAAAGGCATCAGGAGGTCTCAATGAAGTCTTAAATATTATTGGCAAATTTGATATATACATGTCTTTTCCTAAGAAGTGGTTTTGTGATTTTCATCAGATAAAGGAGCTGGGACTAAAAATTTTAAGAACGATTGATTCAGACAGTCTCTTAGTTTTCCTTCAGTTCTGGCAATCTTTGACCTTACCTTTAAAAAATATCCATCATCATTAGATACATTCATGAAACAATACTCATGTGTACCCTGCCCAGATGAGCACAAGACAAAAATAGGATGTGACTAGATATAAGCCTCCAGGGAATATATCATTTGATGATCATCACCATTAATGTGAGAAGATGAGGGTAGGACATGGAATCCTACTGAGACCTGTCATTATCTCACAGACCAATGGACTATGCATTCATGCCTTCTTCAAACTCACTTTCTGAGAAACCAAGCTCCTTTCCCTTCCTGGCAGGAGTTTCAATGAACAAGACTATTTTTAATCTGGTACTAGCACACACAATGTAACAAAATAAATTTATATGACAAATATATTATCTGGTCCCTATTCCTGTAATGTTCTTTGTAGAATTTTTAAAAAATAGGACTGATCCTTGCATTAATAGACAAGGAAGCTCGAAGCAGGCTGAATTAGAACTTGGCTTCTCACTACTGGGTTATCCCACAGTCAAAGGGTAGTGATGTTCCAAATTTTTCACCTCTCTTGACCTTAAACATTTCAAATGTTTCAAAAATCCAATTCTCTCTTAACAAGTAGTTCACAAGTGTTTATGCAAGGTACTGAAGCTAGTTCACAGGTGAATGAGTCACTGTCCCTGTCTTCATGGAGCTTCCATTCTAATGGGGTGTTAGATAAGCATTTGGAACATCATAATATAAAGTAGCATAAGAGGAAGGCTATTGGGACTCAAAGTTCCAATAGACTACTAAAAAAAAAGTATATTCAGCTGGTAAACCACGGAGAGGTGTATGGAGGAAGTGGCATCTGAGGTGAGACTTGGGGAGTGAACATGATTTGGATCTGAAGGAAGAGGAAAGAAGGAGGCATTTTTGGTGGAGGGGTTATCATAAACAAAAGCATAGAATTAGAAAGAAGCATGGGACATGTTTTGGGAGCAGGAAGTAATTCAGGTTTCCTGCTGAGTATCTGGAGGTGAGGAGAAGAAGAGCTGTAAATGACATTTGGTAAAAATCTTTGATGTCAGAATGAAGTGTTTGTACTCAATACTAAAAGCAAGGAAACTACTAAAGGTTTTCGGAGGAAGAGAGAAAAACCACAGAATTATAGAAATCTTGAATTTAACATTCCCCACCCTTACGCCTATTGTACAGACAAGGGAGTCAGAACAAGAACCTAAGAACCTGGAGAGCTTGGCAGGCTCCTAAGTCCTAGCTTGGTGTATTCTACCGGTGGCCTCACAAGGTTTCTAGAGTAGCAGCGTGCAGGATGGAGGAGAGAGGACAGGCAAAACAGGAGTGTGGCAGCTACTGGAGTCACCCAGGAGAGAAGCTAAGGTGGCACAATGAGGACCGGAACGTTAAGGGAGTGGGCAGGGTAGTGGGTCAAAAGAGGGGCTGAACCGCAGAGCCCCTTCTCTCTTCTCCATGGAGCTCAGAGCACTGCTCGTTCATTCACATCAGAGGGGTGGGTTATTTGACCTCACTCATTGGCAGGTCCAGGAAGCACGGAGTCAAGTGGCCCACAGTTGAGATGATGAGCACTCTCCACCCTCCCAGCCCCTCTTCACTACTGTACAAGCTTTAGAAATCTTAGAAGAAGAAAAAGAGAGGCCAAAAGTCATGTCAGCCATGATCAGAAACAGCCCTGGAACTGCCCCTTTAAAGGATCAGTATGATGGTTTCAGAATTCAGACAACTTTGTGTGTTGTGTTTTCTTTCTGTCTTTTCTGAAGAGTGTCGAAGCATATCATGGCTCCAAACCACTTCTCAAATAAAGACAGGAGCTCACAAAGTGTTAATTTTTCTTCCCTTTCCCAGACCTCTCCTACAGGTCCCGCTGAGCTCTTACATTCCTTGAAGAGGATGGTGAGATCAAAGAGCCAGGCACACGTGGTAGAGGGTAAGCACTTCGAGAATGTCTGCAGCCACAGGAGGCCACAATGCGCTTTAGCAAGCTCTCTCTTGAGCCAGGTAGCCTGCGCCCAAATTCCATCTCTGCTGATTATGAGTGTGTGGCCTTGAGCAAGTTACTTGGCCTTTTTACACCTTAATTTCTTCATCTGTAAAATGAGGGTAGCCAACAGGGATGGTTGGGCAGCCAATAGGCCTGATGTGAAGAACAAATGAGCTACCAAGATAACACATATGAAGTGTTAAGTACAGCAAGGCCTATTAGCTGTTTTTAATAAGGCAGCTCAGAAATTTCATTCTACTAAATATCTGGTAATTGGTAGCTTAGTGGTAGAGGCCAGTAAAGGGGACAAAGGTGCCATCCAGCTGCACCAGATGTGCACAGAACAGTATTACAATAGTCGGTTAATATCTAAAAGAGTTTAGCAAATAACCCCTCCCCACCTGCCCTACTTGAGCAATAGTTTGGCTTAGTCCACCTCCTTCATTCCTCTAACTTGAGCGATTATCAGCCTGAGGCTGGCCTAGATGGCATGCATATAGTCTAGTTGGTTTGTAAGGTTTCAAAAAAGAAAACTCTAGCCACGTGTTTCAGGGTTTGGTGGTTCTTGTAGACACCAGCCTCTTTCAAACCCTTGGTGTTGTAGTATAGAAGGGACTTAGGAACCATCTAGTATTCCCGTTTCAGAGCTAAACAAGTGGAAGCCCTGGATGAGGAGTAAGTTGCCTGAGGTCACCCAGGTAGTCGGTTCAAAACCAGGACTAGTTCTCCCGTGCCCTGGTGTTCAGAGTAGTGCTTGCTCTTGATCACACCTGGCTGGCTTGTTGATTTTCTGATCTCCAGCTAACTGTTGGGCCTGCCTCCAGTGCATCCCACACTTCAGGGTGCACAGGATGACTGGCCTTTGGCTCTTCCTATCTGCCTTCCCTGCCCTGGCTCCTCAGACATTCCCGATGCCTCCAGTGTGCTCCTGCCACCCACATCCTGATGTTCTCTCCTGCAAACCTGCCTCTGCCTAAGGGCTTCTGAGGCCCCAAGAGTCCTGCCTGGGGGGCCCCAGGAAGAGACGCTCAGGAGGACTCTTCCCTTTGCCCTGGAGTCTGTTTCAGGAAAAAGTGATGTTTGCTCTATTTCCCTCTTCTGGCTCCTCTGCTCCGTTTTTTCCAAGTCTTCTTCACTCTCTGTGCTTGGTCACCCCCAACTTTGCCCTTCTGCTTTACATTCCTGTTCTGCTCTCTTTCTGTCTCCTTCCCAGCCCTTCCCCTTTCCTCTTTTCTTTCCTTCCCTGTGTCACTGGCATCTTCCCGGTGCTCCTTGGGCCCCGCCCTTTTTCCCTCTCCCCTTTCCTCTCCAACCCTGCCTGCCCCCAGCTCCGCTAACCCTTTAACACATCTGTTTCCAATCTGAGCCTCGGAGGCGCCTGTTTGAAACAACAAAAAACCCCCATCCTCAGGAACCTGGCACAAAAATTCCTGGATAAACCTTCCCTCCACCCATTCTCCACTTTTCCCTGATACACCAGAAACTAAACACCGCCCGAAAGAGGACCCTGCACATCAAACCGTTCACAGCCAAACTCGACCAGGAAACCCCCCAGCCCCCAAGCCTGCTCCCGGGCCCAGATGTGCGAGACAATCTAGATGGCCGACTGGGCGGTCCTGGGTTACCAGATGTGCTCCTCCGTGGCCAGGAGGCAGGGACGGAAAAGCAGGCTCACTCCGGGGGCTGCGGGGACAACCGTTCAGAATCAGCGTCTTCCCCGGACGCAGCGCTGCGTTTGCCCACGGCCATCCGAACTCCCGCCCTCCCAGAGGCACTCACCTAGCAAGAGGAGGCGGAGGAGGGACATCCCGATCCCGGGACGCGGGCGCTTCCCCGCTCAGCAGCTGCCTGGCTCCTGGGCGGCCGGGCGCCTCCGACGGACCTCGGGCGAGCTGGGCGCGGCGCCTAGGGGTGCGCGCGGGGTGGCTGCAGCCATGTGCCAAGGGGGACCCGGCCCCGCGCCTTGCGCCCCGAGCCCCGCGTCCCCGGGGAGCACAGGGGCTCCCGGAGCTTGCCCCACCAGCTCGCGCGCAGACGGGAGCCGGGACCAGGGTCGGAGGGGTGGGGAAAGGCGAGGCAGAAAGACGCTACCGCTTCGTGGAACACTTTTCCCTGTTTGGAAAGGAAAAGGAGTGAAGAAGGGGGGGGGGAATTCAGCTGGAACCACATGGTTGCCTCCTACCGCAGCCCCTCCCTCTCTCCCTCGCTGCTCCCTCCCTCCCTCTCTCCCTCCCGCTCAGCGTTTGGGGTTAGCGGTGGGGGCCGGTGAAGGAGAAGCGTGAGCTGGCGGGGCGGGAGGGCCGGGGAGGCTTGGGGCAGTGCAGGGGCGGGTGGGTGGAGAGGCGCCCGGCGTAGGATTGATTCTCTGTAAGAGGCATCGGTGACACCTCGGCTGAGAGCCCGTGGACGAGGCCTTGTCAGTTCCTCTCTGCTCTCACTCTGTCCTTCTCTCCACTTCTCTCTGGCTTCTTTTTCACCCTCCTTTCTCTCTGCTTCCTTGTCTCTCGCCAATCTGGCATATCTTTCTTTCATCTCTTCCTCTCCACGTCTCCTTATTTGCATTCTTCTTGCCTCTCCCTCTCTCCTCCGGCCCTCTCCCTTCTGTGCTCTGCCCTCTTCTCGCCTCTCCTCTCCCTCCCTGTCTGGTTCTGTCGGTGTGAAGCCACCAGAATGAGCAGGCCGACGTGCGGGGCGCGGAGGTGGGCAGCGAAGGTAGCCGGCGCCTGGCGGGCCAGGGCTCTCCCCACCGACTGCCTGCTTTGGCACTCTGCGACCACCCTTGGCCTGGCTTTCCTGGGACACTTCGCGTTCGCTCGCTTTCTGCTGTCGGTATTTGCAGCAGCGCGCTCTCAGATCCGGACAGAGTTAAGCTAGTCAGCACCCAGGGGACTGGGGACCCACAGCGCGGTGGAAGGCGGTCTATTGAGAAGCTTTGTAGCAAAGTGCTCTGCACGTGGCCCTTCCAAAACGTGCACCACCTCCTTTCAGAAAGAACAGAAGGCAGGAGTATCCCCCTGGTGCCAGGGCTTGGGTTCGCGGGCTCCAGTAACCCGGCCCAGAAGGCTCCTGGAGGCAGGAGGCTGGTGGCTCGACGGGGGCGGAGGGTGGGTTCCGGGGAGACCAACCCCGGGGTCACCAACCCCGGGGTCGGCCCCTGGGAGTCTGTCCTTCACTACCTTGCTGCTCAGCAGTAGCGGGGGGCGGCGAGAATAGGAAAGTACAGTGAGGGTGGCGCTCAGATCTCAGCTGCCTGGACCTTAAGCCCTGCCCTTGTGCCCCAGGCCTCCCAGAAACTCTGGTCCCAGTCTCTGAATGTCCCTGGAGGGCTTCTCCCTCAGCAGCCCATAAGGACGCAATCGCTCACCTTCGGCCCAAGTTGGAAGAGGGGGACCGGGCTCTTGAGAAGGAAGATTGCGCGGGGGGAGGGCGCGCTGCTGAGTCACACATTTGCCTCGTTTTCCCAACCCTCTTTTCAGGACTCTTAGTCCTCTCTAACGATCTAGTCCTGCCCAGATGTAAGGAAAATCCGTCCCATTTCGCAGACGAGGAAAGCAAAGGCCTCACTCAAAGACGTCTCACTCAAAGAGGGTCACTCAAAGGATTCGCAAAAGCTGGAGCTTTGCTTTAGAGGAATTGCAGCGTTTCTCCACTCACTCCCTCACCCCTTCAATACCTACGTGTTAGGCATCCACTCTGTGCCAGGTGCTTTTTTAGGTGTGAGGACACAAAGCAAGTAGAACTTGGAAACTGACACTTTAAAAAATAGGAGTATGTCATGGACACCAACTATGGACCCAGAATCATATTATTGACCTTTTAATATGATTCTTCTTATACTGGGAGAGTCATTGGAAAGAAGCACCACCCCTTAGCATAAACAGGAAGACAAGGAAACTATAACTTAGCGAGGCCTAAATCTCTTGCCCCAGATGAAAAACTATTAAAATGCTTGGTCGGGCGCGGTGGCTCACACCTATAATTCCAGCACTTCGGGAGGCTGAGGCGGCTGGATCACGAGGTCAAGAAATCGAGACCATCCTGGTCAACGAGGTGAAACCCTGTCTCTACTAAAAATACAAAAATTAGCTGGGCATGGTGGCGTGTGCCTGTAATCCCAGCTACTTGGGAGGGTGAGGCAGGAGAATTGCTTGAACCCAGAAGGTGGAGGTTGCGGTGAGCCGCAATCGTACCATTGCAATCCAGTCTGGTAACAACAGCGAAACTCCGTCTCAAAAACAAACCAACAAAATGCTTCTATTCCAATATTAATATTCTAATATTTAAAAATATTATTTTTATATTGACAAGTGTTTAAAAGGTCTCTTTGACTCCTAAGTAACTTTATTTTCCATTTTAAACTAATTGTCTAATAAGGGAAATAGGTACATTCACAACTATAATTTGTATATGTCGAAAAAACAGTAATTTTTTTTTTTGAGACAGGGCCAGGTTCACTGCAACCTCTGCCTCCTGGCTCAAGTGATCCTCCCACCTCAGCCTTCCAAGTAGCTGAGACTACAGGTTCGCACCACCATGCCTGGCTAATATTTGTATTTTTTGTAGAGACGGGGTTTTGCTATGTTGCCCAGGCTAGTCTCAAACTCCTGGGCTCAAGCAATTCACCTGACTCGGCCTCCCAAAGTGCTGGGATTACAGGTGTGAGCCACCGTGCCCAGCCCAAAACACTAATTCTTAAAGGTTGGAGAAGGTGGCAGAAAAACTACATAGAGAAGGGAATGTTTTCGTTGTTTCTGCTTTACAGTTTTTTTTTTTAATTGACATTTCAGGCTTACGAAAAAGTTGCAAAATAGCACAAAAATTCTTCACCCAGATTCCTCCTTTTATTTCTCTCCAGAGGCAGTGTTTTTGCAGAAGTTTTTAAAGCCCCACCTCCACCCCTCCACTGCTGGTGGCCTTTCTCAAGAACCTGGTAATGCCAGTGCTGTTTATTGCTTGAGGACTGGTGTGCACATGAAGACAGATGTGTGTGGGTGTAGGCAGATATGTGTTTCAACCCACATTGCTCAAGCCGAAGGTAACAGGAGCCTTCAGCTCCAGGTCATTAGTCACCAACACAGGAAATGATTAAACCAGGCTAAGATTGGGTCGCAAACACTCAATTTTCCCAGGCCCAAGTCTTACAGCCAGTGGGTATTTGGCACATAGTTTTGAGAAGATTTGTGTGTCCCTTGAAGGTGCCCGTCTCTAAATCTGCAACCTCTTTTCTATTGTCATGGGTCATGGCAGGAAGAGCAGAGACAGTGCTTCTGGGATGGTTGGTAAGTCACAACCCATCTTTACTAGCGCTGGGACCCACTCTGGGCTGGGTGCCTCGGAGGATCCCAAGAGTGTGTTACCATCCTTACCCTGAATGGACCTCTCAACTGAAAGGGAGAAAAAAACATCAACATGAGAAATGTTTCAACAACAATTCAAGCAAGTTATATAGTTAGACGCCAGAGTAAATTATCCTGACAATGAAGTAACAGTGGGAACTCCAAGAAAGGAAGGAGCACCTTAGGCTGGGGTGATTGCGGAGAGCAACGACGGAACCAGCCCTTGGGGGATGAACAGAATTTCATTAGGAGAGAGGAGCTGGGGAGGGCCTTGGGTGGGGGCATTCCTGGACAAAGACGTGGAGTTAGGAGTAGCTTTCACATATTGAGGGGGCACTGAACGAAATGAAACGCTTGAAAGGAAAATTGTTGTTGAAGCAAAATGCCCTGGGGGCAAAATCATGACAAGTTCGGACTGTGAGGCAAAAGATTCTAGAACTTGTTCTGCAGCTTCTCCTCCAGGCTCTTTAAAAAAAATTAAGAAAAAGTATCTTGATGAGAACCATATTTTAGGAAGTGGAAACTGGCAGCTTCTGCCCAAAGGTGACCCCAAGGGTTGGCCAGGGGGGAGAACTTTCACGACTTTATATCTATCAAGCTGCCTTTGTCTCAGTATTTTGTAGAGTGATATACATACACAGCTTCAAGACACTTCCTTTGTCCTTTCCAATTTCTGGAGAGCCAAGGAGTACCACCCTAAACCTACCCTTTGCAGGAATTCTGGAGCCACCACAGGGAGTGTGTGATGCATTGGAAAAGACACCTGAAGGACAAGAACTGTTTAGAACCCACTGCACTAAACAGGCAGATACGATGAGGGTAATGTAGAAGACATTTGGAAGAAAGATTAGATAGGGTTAAGCACATCACAAATCATTGTGGGTGAAAGGAGTGGAAGAGAAAAGAGGCACCAAATATGAGTGTAAACGACTAAAAACATTGTTATATATGCCAAGATTGGCAGCAACCACTAATTTACCTCCTGGTATATTCCAGAGATCATAAGCATGATTAATAGGTATCACATTACAATGAGGAAACTAAGGTTGAGCAAGATTAAATACATTGCATATCATCCCATGGTTGTAAATGATTGAGGCAGTATGTAAAGTCAGCAGCTTCAAACCTTTTACACCTCACTGTCTTTTGATAGCACTACTGACACACTAGGGAAGTTGGGTAAGTTAACTTGTCAGGAATGGAAAGATAAATTACCCAATTAGTTGGAGACATGGTAACTGAAGAGATGATAAATCATCATCCATCCATCCATCCCTCCATCCTTCTTTCTATTCTTTGTTTGTTTTTGAGATGGAGTCTTACACTGTCACCTGGGCTGGAGTGCAATGGCGTAATCTTGGCTCACTGCAACCTCCACCTCCCAGGTTCAAGCGATTCTCCTGCCTTAGCCTCCTGAGTACATGTGATTATAGGCACAAGCCACCATGCCGGCTACTTTTTGCATTTTTAGTACAGACGGGGTTTCACTATGTTGGTCAAGCTGGTTTCGAACTCCTGACCTTGTGATCCCCCTGCCTCAGCCTCCCGAAGTGCTGGGATTACAGGCGTGAGCCACTGCACCCTGCCCATCTTTCTATTTTTTCTTTCAATCAATAATTTCACAAATCTTTGTTAAACACCTACTATACACCAAGAACTGGAAAATCAATGGGGAAGAACAGAAAAGTTGTCCTTACCCTGCAGAAGCTTCTGGTGAGTTAAGTGAGATGAACAACCAACAAGCAATTACATGGCGTGAGAAATGCTCTGCTCGGGAAAGGGCAGAGTGCTATGGAGATTATAGCAGGACCTTACACCTAGTGTAGGAGATGCCAGAAAGACATCCTGTCCCGTGAACTGCGGGGGAGAGAAGTGCAGTGGGAAGAGGGAGACCTGTGTTCTTTTCTCATCTCATACCTGGAAACCATGGACCTTGTCTTTTTTTTTTTTTTTTTTGAGAGGGAGATTTGCTTTGTTGCCCAGGCTGGAGTGCAGTGGCACAATCTCAGCTCACTGCAACCTCCAACTCCCGGGTTCGAGCAATTCTTGTGCCTCAGCCTCCTCCTCCTG